TCCAGTTTAAAATTTTTTAAAGTGTGAAATACAACATCACTGCCCAGAGAGCTATAACTACATACCTCCTACCACCCCCTGAAGTGATACCCCCAAACAAGATATTTGTCTCTAGGGAAGACAATTATCTTTGACTGACTGGCTCTTGGCACTGAGCAGATCTGATTTTCTGTTTCGTTCTTTTATATAGGGTGTGTGTAGCCTAGGCTAGACTTGAAGTCTCTATCCTCCTGCCTCAGCCACTTGAGTGCTGGGATTACAGGTGGGAGTCACTAATCGCAGGCTCTTGTTTTTAGACATGGTCTGTCCATGCAGTTTGGGCTGGCCTTGTACTCACTTTTTTTTTTTTTTTTTTTTTTTTTTTTATTTGAGAGAGAGAGAGAGAGAGAGAGAGAGAGAGAGAGAGAGAGAGAGAGAGAGAGAGAGAGTGGTGTGTGTGTGTGGCCAGCTCAGCCCACCAGGGGGCGGGGCTGGCTGGCATGTGGTGCTGGGGGATTGAACCGCGGTCCCTGATGCTTTGCCAAGCTAGTTCCAAGTAGGTGCTTTAGACCACTGAGCCATCTCTCCAGCCCCTGTACTCACTTTTGTAGCCCCCAGGCTGGTCTCAAACTCACAGGGATCCCCCTGGGTCAACCTCCCAAACACTGGGACTATAGGTGTGTGCCACCATGCCCGGTCCCTGGGCCGCACGGTGGGCACCCACATCCAGAGCTGAGATGACACCCTTGGGCACCTGGGGCCAAGCCCGCACAGCATATGTGGCCAAGGATCCACCTCGGGTCCTCGTACTCGCCAGGTAGGTGCTTATGCCTCTGAGCTCTCTCCAACCCCTAGGCTGAGCTTCTTTACGTCACTTTCCTAGGCTGTCCCGTGACACTACAGTTTCTTTCTTTCTTTTTTTTTTTTTTTTAGACAAACAGGATCTCACTGTATAGCCTAGGCTGGCCTCCAATTTGCAGCATCTTCTTGCCTCAGCCTCCTGAGTGCTAGGATCACAGGTATACACCACCAGGCCCAGCTGCCCTGCAATTTCTTTCTTCTTTTTCTTTCTTTTTTTAAAAATTTTATGTATTTGGTAGAGGATCTCGCTATGCAGCTCAGATGCATAGTGATCCTCCTGTTTTCAGCCTCGCCAGTGCAGGGATTACAAGTGTGTGCCACCACACTCATTCTCTATGGCAGTTCAGCATGCCTGGGGGCGGGGCCAGCACGGCTGTGGTGCCGGGGATCAAACCCCGTGCGCTTGCCTAAGCAGGAGCTTAATCTGCTGAGTTGTCTCGCCAGCCCATGCCCTGCAGTTTCTTTACACCAAGGTTTTAGAAGCTAAGTTCTGAAGTTGTAGTAGGCAGTGCTGTTTCTAGACCCAGGTGTTCACTTTATAACTCATGAGCTGCACATCTACTGTTCTTGGTCCTCCCTGCGCTGAGGACATGTGCATTAAAGTACCCACTGCGAAAACAACCAATCTTGCCTCCAGGCTGACCTGCCTCAGCTATTGGGAGTTGCAGAATTGTTCCGAACTTCCTACTTGGGAAGGAAAGAGAATTCTAAGGTTGACTCTTCCTGCGGGAACTGCCCTTATTTTGGCCGTCACTGGGGCTTACTTCCTGTGTGTTTCAACTCTGCATTTACAACTTCACAAGGAACATTACCAAGATTCCAACTCAGCTCCATGCAGAAAATATGGAGTCACTAGAAAAATACAGGGACTGACTGTGGGGTCTCCCTGATGGAGCGGACGCACAAGGCACCCAGCAGGTATTAATCCAGCACGTGTGTTCTCTTTCCCATCCACTGCCAACACAACACTAAAGTCCGCCTTCACTGGGCAGCAAAGTGGCCCTCTGCAGCAACCCAAGAGATGGCCACTTCACACTTTCCCGCAGCTGCGTGCTTGGACGCCAACAGCACTTCATGCCGGCCGCCTCACTGACCTCCTCACTGACCTCATGCTGTTTAGCCCTCAGGAACAAGAATGGGGTCAGGAAGCTTGAGGCAGGTTTGGGCCCTGCCTAGAGTACACAGTGAGTTCAAGGCCAGCCTTCACTACGAGACCTTGTCTCACAAAACAAAAAACATAAGAAAGAATCAAGTGTTTTGCTTAAAGATCTGGATGACTGCTGGATAATCCTGGGGAGGTAACTGTGCACCAAGCAAAACTCCTGTCTCAAGTGAAACACCAAGCGCATTTTTGTCCCATCCACCCAGCAGGGTCAGCTTCCTCAGGTTTTATGAAAGCCCTCACATTTGGGGGTCTGCTCAATGTACTTACTGGGTAGCCCCCTAATCTACCACATGTGGTGGGGGCTTAAACAAGAAAAGATTCTCTAGTGGACTGGACTGCAGAAGGTGGGATTCTCGCAGCTGCAGCCCCCACAAGCCTACAGAGCACGGAGAGTTCCATATATTTGGAACCTGAAGCAAAGATGAGTGCCCCTGGTGTTTTCTAAGGAACTGTCAGGTGAACCATCAGGGCTCTGCTGATTGAACTTTGCACCCTGGGAATCCCAGTGCTACAGCCTGGCCTGGGCATGAACTGACAACCCATCCAGCACCTCCAAGAGCTGTCTGGTCCCCGAGGAGCCAGGCACAAGGGCCTGGGTTAACTCTGAAGGTACACAGCTGCTGGTGCCTACGTCAGGAGATGCCTGTGGTGGAGTCACAGTGCTGGGGCCTGGCTAGCAGGTGGCTCTGCGTGTCTTGGACTCAGCAGGCGGTATGTGCTAGGGTGTTTCACCCCATAATGAAGGATAGCCCAGGAGGGAAACCAGTCTAAAGGGCTCTGAGAAGGCACTGTGTCTTTCATGTGAAAGTAGTTGGCATGTGTGTGGATCCTGGCACAGACAACTTGGAGAAATGGCCTGGTCACTAACTGAAAGATAGTGACAAGACAGGCACAGAAGTTGTTTGCTGGGTGTGCCATACACCTGTTATCCCAGCACTCAGGAGGCTGAGGCAGGAGGCCCACACAGTTTAAGGCCAGCCTGAACTGCACAGTGAGATCGTGTCTAAAAAAAAAAAAAGAAAAAAAGTTAATGTTCCTGCCATCTTGAACTATTGGTGGTACATGCCTAACTGCCCCTTTACGCCAAGTGCTAAGTGATACAAAATGACCTAATCACCTGTATCAGCCTTTTTATTAGTAAGATTAAAAAGCTATCTGATGAGGCAGCCATGCATGTACCACTCTTGGTTCAAGTTAATGGGACTATGTTTTAAATCAAAGCCAACCAACAGCAAGATAGCTGCCCTACAGCCTGTTAGGAACAGGTCTGACACAGACCGTGTCCCATAGGAAACTTCACCACAGGCCTCCACTGCAGGGGATCCACTTCTCCAATAAAGCCTGAAGTTGTGGGCTGAGTTGGCAAACTATGGCCCATGTATGTCCATCAGCTGCCATCCCACTAGCTATCTGGGCTCCCAAGCAGGGACCCCACTGTACTGGCCAGGGTCAGGGCCAGAAGGAAGAATAGAAACAAGCCTGGAGAGGGCCGGGCTCTCAGTGACATGCAGGCTGCCTCTGCTTGCACCTTGCCCCTTTCTCTTACCTAGAACATGACTGCACATACTGCCTAAAGTCTCCATTTCTTTAGGGCCCCCAAAAGTCTGTCTTGGGAAAGCTGGGCCAACTAGACCTTCCCAACAGCAGCAGTCTGCACCTTGGACCAATGGTGTTAGCAGTGCAGGGGAAACCGAGGCCTTGAAAGCCACAGGCAGTCACATGGAGAAATGGGACCTTCTCTTTGCCTTCTGAGTCTTGGCCACACTGTGTCCTGCATGGCAAAGCCCAGGGCTGATCAAAAGCAGGCCTTGGTCAGTGGTCGGTTTGTTGCTCAGGTAGATGACATAGATCCCCCGCCCCAAATCAGGAACCTGCCAACTTTTTCTTTGAAAAGTCATGACAAAATGTTTTATAATGTGCAAGTCAGCCCATCTCTTTTGTAGCTATTCATGTATCACTGTACTAGTATAAATGGGAGCCAACAGAGGAGCAAGGCTTTTTTTCAGTTTATTCATATTTTGTTACAAATGTCTGGCGACAGACTGCTGGACCCATTCAGGTGACATAGAAAACAGGTCCAAGAGACAGGGTGGGCTGGGGTTGGGGCAAGTGGAAATGGGGCTGGAGAGAGCCTGGGGAGGGGAGGGGAAGCTAGGGGAGGGCCACCCCCTGCTAAACCTGCTCATTCCCCTACCTTCAGAGGGAGCCTCAGGGTGAGGGTTGAGGGGAATGGCTCAGAATTTCCAGGATCAAGCTCTACCTGGTAGTAGGGCCCAAGTCCTGCCCCCCAAAACAGACAAGCTAGAAGTCTCACCCCTTCCAGGATTGACTGCCATGTCTAACTGCAGGCAGAGGTGCTCCTGCCCCTAATTACAGCTCTGCCTGGCCCTAGTCCAAGGGGGAGGGCTCTGCAGGTGGGGGCCCCCACAGCAACCCTTTAGGGGGTGGAGAGGCAGGGGCACCAGTGCTTCCTTCCTCAGGGCTGAGGCCTCTTCAGCCTAGTGGGGGCTGTGGGTACACAGGCCTCTGGTCCCTTCTGGGCTCACTCCCTGGCTGGCTTCCGCCCCCAATGTATAAACCATACTGTGTAGGCGATAGAAGGAGAGCAGGGAGATGGTGAGTTTGCACCAGGCCTCCTCTTGGCAATAGTTGAGAATGTTGGTATTCATGATGGAGACTGCAGAGCCATCTGCAGGACGGTGGAGGTACAGCCTGTGCTGGGCTCCCCTGTTTGATGGGGTTCTTGAAGTCAGACCCACAGCTATAATGTGCCAGATGACAAAGATGAGGGCGATGCACAGCACCAGGGTGAACATATAGCATAAGGTGAATGCCATGGCCTGGGTGATGGCTGGGGTGGGATCCTGGTGCAAGGGGATGTCCCCCACCCCCACCCCAACTGCATTTAGAGCTGGCTGTGCATGACCCATGGGGCTCTGGGAACATTGCCTGGCTCATCTGCAGCTCTCTTGTTCTCCAGCCAAATGGCTTTGGCTGTGTTTCAATAAATTTTTATTTACAAAAACAAGCAACAGACGACATTTGGCTTGTAGACTGTAATTTGCTAACCACCATCTTTAATGACCCTGAGAAGATGCTCTGGCTGCCCAAGGGGATTGTGGCCGGTCTTAACCTCCATGAAATGGGCTGATGCTGTCCTGAGGTTGAAGTGGGGCAGAAGAGCGCAATGAGTTTGGAGTTTCTGACCAAATGCAGAGGTCAGAACATGAGGGCCTCTCTGAAAAAGGCTGAGCCTTCTGTGTAGGAAACACCGACTGCTTTATCACACATCAGACCTGGCCCTCCAGCTCTATGCATATGTGGTCCCTTGGCAGGTACTATCTCTTAAGGGCCTCTAGGAGCCTTTCTGCTGTGGCCTGACCACTAGCCCCTCTCTGGTGATGGCCCAGTTGTAGTTCTTTGGGGAGTCCAATGCTTCTTCCACCCGTGCCTCCAGGTTCTCTCGGGTGATAAAGGTTTTCACCTCCTCCTATGGGAGAGAAAAGACCAATTGCTTGGGACTCCCATACAAACTGGCAGCCTGCTGAGCCTGCTGCAATCTAGTTCCCCCCAGGAAAGGGTGTCTGCAGCCCAAGGCCTCTGAGTGCCCCCGACCTTACAGTGGAGTAACATCTGGCAGCCTTACCTGATTGCTCTGAGACAAGTCATCTTCTGGACACCTCAGACAGAAGATGTCACCAGCTGTGATAACCCCGTGGACTCAGTCCTGAAATGCTACCTGGTCCACTCCCCCCACCCCCATCCCCTTTTTCTTGTTTCTGAGACAGGATTTTGCTATGCAATTTAGGCTGGCTTTGAACTCATTACATAGCCCAGGATGGCCCCAAACTCTTGGCAAATCGTCCTGCCTCAGCGGAGTGCTGGGATTACAGGCATGTGCCACCACACCAGGACTCCTGGTCCACTCTCAAAACACTCAACTGGTTCCTTTCCCTCTGTTTAATTCAAGCCTCAACCACTGTTCCTGGATTACTTACTCCTCAACCTGCTAATCCTTCCTACCAAAGTCAATTTTTCAATGACCTGCAAGGTCAAACACACTCTTCCGTGTATTTCGGGGTCCCTCCGACAAACACCGGCCTACTCTTCTAGGTGCCAGAATAGGTTCCCATTTGCACTCTACCTCAGGGACCTTCGCGCCCCTCTCTCCCAAGCCCTCGCCGGCTCAGTCCCTGGCCCGCCGCAACACACCTGCAGTTGCTGCACTTCCTGCTCCCTGAGCCGCACCCGGGCCTGCTCCTCCAGCGCCCGGCGCGCCTGCTCCTCCACTTGCCGCCGCTGCTGTTCCTGTGCCTCCTGCCGTAGCCTCGACAGCCTGAGAGGCAATGGGGCGAGTCTGAACCCGGGCTTCAGGCCAGCGGGGGCTCCAGGCCAGCGGGGCCCGGGCCGCGCCGCCCCGCCCTGCCCCGCCCCGCCCCGCCCCACGCACCGCAGCTCGTGCAGCCGCCGGTTCTCCGCCCGGTTCCAGGCCATCAGCTCCCTGTGCATGGCCGCGTCCTCCTGCACCTTGCGCTCCGCCAGGACCCCGGCGCGGGCCTCGTGCTGCTTCTTCCGCACCTCCGCTACAAACTCCAGCCTGGGCGGGACGACAAAGCCCATCAGCACCCTGTGCTCGCTCGCCCCCTTCCCCGAGAGCTGCGCCCCGCAGGCACACGCACCTGAGGGCGCGCACGACCTGGCGGTACAGCCGATACCGCTCTGTCAGCACGAAGAACTCCGCAGGGTCCACGGTGGGCGGTGTCTTCACGCGGCCGGCCTTGGACTTGGCAGGCGGGTCGTGGCGCGTCTTGCGGTCACGCGCCGGTATCAGCAGCACTGCCGGAGGCCGGCCCCGGACCCCAGTGCCGAGGGAGCTCAGCGTGCGGAGCATGGCTGGAGCTGCACCTAGGTGTCCGCGCTCGACCCCGCTCTGACCCGGAAGCGGTCGCGGGGCACCATGGGACTTGTAGTCCTCGTACCCCGCCCCGTGAGAGCGGGCGCGCCCTTGGTCTCCTCCCGAAGCCCCTCCCACCAGCGGGGCTGAGCCGGAGACCTGCTGGCTCGCGGGACTGGGCCCTCTGTGGGGCTGGTGGAGGGAGGGGATGAAGGAGACAACTTGAGGCAACAGCGCGATGGACTTCATGCTTTTATTGGGGGGGGGGGGGCGGCGCAGTGGGACGCGTCACTCGGGCTGTGTTCTGCGGAGGGAAGGACTGGTGACACCGTGGGGGGTACTCTGGTGTAGTGACGCCGAGCTGTACCCACCTGTCCGACTTAGGCCTCCGCGGCGCCCGGAGCCCTCTCCCGCAGGTGCCTGAGGACACAACATGGGGACCTTCGGCTACCTGGGCATGATGTCTGTCCACTCACAACCCCTGAACTTAAATTAGGCCACAGAGCGTTGCCTCTAGGAACCTCCACATCCTCCTTTAGTTAAGATGCTTGTCTTAACTTTATGTTCCATGTGCAAAAATTAGTAGTAAACTGGCTCCCAACACTTGGGGAGCTCTGCAGAGCTGTTCTGCTTGCTGCTCCAGTACCACTTGGGCCTTTGAGCCCATCGCTTGTGTGAGAAACACTGCCCTTTTAGCACTGCCCACCTTGAGTTTGGCTTGTCAAGAAACCGGGGTACCCCTACAGCTGCAACTGTCTTATTTATGGGGGGTTTATCAGGTTTTCTTCTGCTCCTCTAGTGACTCCAGGAACAGCTGGGGTGCAGAGCAGAGTGCGTTCTCCGTGGTGTTGCACCCTCCTCCCCCTAGTAGCACGGCCTCTGGGCACCGTGGCTGGTGTTGAACGCTGGGCCTCTCACCCCACCCCACTCACCAGTAGCATGTAAACCGGGTGCTGTTTCCTGTGGAGAGCCCACCGGGCGGTGCTTCTGCCCTTCCAGGGCACAGTGTCTTCAAAGGGTGCCAGGTCCTCACTTGGGAGTCCATTGGAAGCTTGGGAGAGGCTGCCTGCTGCAGTGCCCAGGACCCTTCCTCAGAAGGGGACAGGCTGGGACCTGTCTCCATCTACAGGCCCAGATATGTGGGGGAACAGCAGCCAGCACGGTTTTCCACCAAGGCTGGAGACCTGTTACCCACCTGGAGATCTGGGGACAGTCTGGGAATCCTGGGGTGATTTGGAGGCTCTCTTTCCTCCAGGGTACCAGCCATGGGACCAGTGCTGAGCCCTCAAAGGTCTGGGGCAGGCGGTTAGCAGCAGCAGCAGCAGCAGGAGTAGGAGCAGGAGGCCCAGCCTAGAGCAGGCCATGGCAGAACTGCGTTCAAGGACATTGGGCAGAACTTAATCACCCTGACACTTCTGCACATACTCCTTCCTCTTCCTCCAGCGTTTCCCTGGCCAACCAGCAATGGGGGCAGCTTAGTGTCTCCCAACAGCTTTCCCTTTCAGCCACTTCTCATCCCAGGCCTATGGGTCTGACCCATGGGATCCTGGCCTGGGCCAGGGGAAGGCAATCCGGGAACATTTGGAGCAACTGGTGCTGGGAAACCCAAGTGGCAGGCTCTGTGCCCCTTCTGTAGTAGCTGGGGTATGGCATATATGTGTAGTGTGGAGCAAGTGCTTCCATCCCTTATCCTTCCCAAGCAAGGGTGACAAGCACAGGAACACATAGCTTTGCTGGGGGTACAGGGAAAAGGGGGTTTCTTTTCTAAGAATACCAAGGGTGGAGGGGCCTTGGAAGGGAAAGGAGCAGGGTGCCACACATCCAGACTGGAGCTCCATCCAAGAGCTCCAGCCTTGAAGATGGGTAGCCTCCTCACCACTCACCAGAACAGCTGTGGCAGCGTGGCTCCTTTGGCAGCTGCAGGACCTAAGCCAGCAGCCCTGGGATTTATTGACTAGGTAGCTACCCCCTCTGCTCTGGCCTACAGGCTCCAGTGACGTCTTGAGGATGGGGGGGGGTGTGGTGGCCTGCCACCCCGCCTCATCTCAAAGCATCTGTTTCATGAACAGACCCTGCCCTCCACCTGCAGTCACCAGACATGTCCTGCCTCCTCCCCCATCTTCCCAGGGAACTGACCTATGAGCAAAAAAGTCAAAATGGCTTCAGAGTGGTCCAAAGGAGAGCAAAATTCGTTTTCTGAACCTTAGAGTTTGTTGAGGGGGTAAACTGCCACAAAGATAGCACACTGGAACTGAATCTGCCAGCGTGAAAACTTCTGGAATCTTAACAATACCTTGCAAAGTTTGAGCAAGGGCCCAGTTTTGCTTCCTGACCTGGACATAGCAGTGAACTTATAAAACTTAGCTTAGACTGATTTGCACCAACTTTGCATTAGTCCTACTTTTCTCTCCCAAAGAAGGCTAAACTGCACATGCTTCCTTCTTGTTCTAAAAACTCAGCCTGCTTTCAGAATACTGTGTACCCAACTTACAAATTTCTTCTGTGCCTGAGTGAAAGTATCTTTACTTTTATTTTTCACCATTCAAGATTTCTTGGTTTCCAGAAGTCACAGGACTCTTGGTCCAGGCTGGGCCATGTCTTGGTCTTACCTCCCTACTTCCCAGGCTGCATCGTTGCTCCTGCCCTGGAGGCCTACAAACCCTTTCCTGATCCAAAAATTGTGATTGTATTTCACCTCTTAAAGTGGGTGGGCAGAAGGTTTGTAGCCACATTTAGTGCAGAGCCAGGTCACACCAGATGTAGATGGGTTTGGGTGGGCTATCCAGGGTCTTCCCTCCAAGCAGGCCCAGGAGAGAGCACTAGGAGAGAGGCTATAGACATCGGGTAAATTTGTCTCCTAAGCTTAAACGCCCTTTGAATCCCGTGCTCACCAGGACCATTCATGGGTTTCAACAGCTGGGCTGCTGCTGACCACAGGCCCCCACCTCCCAGTCTGCGTCAGTAGCTCAGCTTTCCATGCCAGCCTTAGCCTCTGGGGGCCAGAGACCTGTTTACTGGGTTAATGGCCAATTGGCATTTGAGTTCAATAGCAAATTTTGAGAGCTGGGGTCTGGCTTGACATCCTTGTGCTCATCCTGGTGAGCAGAGTCACTGTGCAAACAGATTCTTCAAATCCTGTGGCAGAGATGGGGAGGGGACCTCATAGCAGGCTCCACAGACAGTGCTGGGCATGTGGGTTTCAGCTGTGATTTTCAAATTGGTATATTAGCAGAGACTTGAAATAAACATAAGGATTGCATGTTCAGTTAAATTGTTTTGGGAAATACACAGACCTTGTAAACAGTGATTTTTAGAAAAATATTTGCTTTGTGATTTATTAAAAATAGCTCTTTGATGCCAGTCATTGAGCTGCCGCCGCCACCACCTCTGCCAAGGACTCAGCTACCTCCCTCTTGAGCCCCTGCTTCCTGGTGATCTGGTCTCCCCTCCCCACCCACCTCCCGCAGCCACCTTCCACAGGCTGTTCCCACTGGAGAAGTGTATGTCTGCTACCCAGAACCTTCACTCTTTCAATGCCTTCGCTGAAGCAAGTAAGGGTGATGACCTGCTTCTTGCTGGCACTGGGGATTTTATCCATATCAGAATCCAAACACAGAAGGAAGACCCTCACCACCATCCAAGGGATTGCTCATGATTACGATAAAAAGAAACTGAAGGTGTTTAAGAAGAAATTTGCCTGCAATGGTACTGCCATTGAGCATATAGGATATGGAGAAGTAATCCAGCTCCAGGGTGACCAGCGCAAGAACATATGCCAGTTCCTGGTAGAGATTGGACTGGCCAAGGACAATCAGCTGAAGGTTCATGGGTTTTAAGTGCTTGTGGCTCACTGACACTTACATGAGGATTTCCTTGCAATGAGTAGAGCACCCCTTCAGTCCCTTGTCACATGTTTAAAAACTTCAGTGTGTATAATGTAACCATTGGGGTCCACTTTCACTTGGACTCGTGTAACTCCTTCATGCAATAAACTGAAGAGTATACACACACACACACACACACACACACACACACACACACACACACACCCCAGGCACAGAGGTACATCCCTGCATCCTAGCTTCTCAGGAGCTGAGGCAGGATGATGATGAGTTTGAAGCCATTCTGGGCAACACAGTAAGGCAGGAGACTAGGATGTGGCAGACAGGTGGGAAAGTAGGCGTGAGCTGTTCATTATCCCAGGACAAATGCACATCCCAGTTCCCAGAGCCCTGCACCTGCCCATGGACTTCTCTGGAACTTAGCAGTTTTTTGATGAGATGGCCCAGATCTGATGGCTGCTTCAGGGTGGGAAATACAAAAATGACAGTTGGCCTTGAGCTTGGGGCAACTGTGTCCCTTTACAGTGAGTACTTCACTCTCATCTTATAGGGTGTATTTTCTTGCTATTACTTGGTCCAAACTCACTATGCAGAGCCTGTTTTTTTTTTTTTTTTTTTTTTCCTATCTTTAAGAAAGGGAAAACTTTGCTACCATTTGTGCTTGTCTTGACCAATTCTTTGCTCAGGACAGAAAGAATATAGAAACTACCTCTAAATGGGGCTCCAGCATCCCAAACCTGGCAACAATAGCAAGAGACTATTTCAAATAAAACAAAAAGGGCTGGGATGTGGCAGCGCACTTGCCTAACATGTGCCAGGCCTAGGGGTCAAACCCCAGCACTACAAAACAACTGTGCAAACATCTCTTCAAATTCAATCACCTGGCTTTGTTCTCAGTTGGGTTTACAGAATGTTTCAAAGTCTACAGTGTTGTTTTGTTTGAGATAGGGTCTCACTATGTAGTTATGGTGATTTGGAACTCACTATTGTAGCCCAGGTTGGCTTCAATCTTGCAGTGATCCTCCTGACTCAACTTCCTAAAAGCTGGGGATCCAACCATTGGTTTCATGGATTTTGGGTAAGTATTCTACCAAATATCCCAGGTCCCTGATATTTATTTTAAGAGGAATGGATGCCTTTGTTTTTTCTATAATTTGATTGTTTTTTTCTGAAGAAAAAAAAAAATCCAAACCAGAGTAACTAAGCATCATGGGGAAAGTTCAGGTCCCTTTTTTTTCCTTTTTTTTTCTTTTTCAGAACTGGGGATTGAACTCACGACCTTGCACTTACCAGGGAAGTGCTTATTCCACTGAGCCATCATCCCAGCTCTCTGGTCCCTTTCTTTCTGGCACCATACTTAGCTTTTCAAGACAGGCTGATATCCCTTCCAGATTACCAACTCTACAGTTCTTTCTCATTATCTCAGCAGAAGAGGAAAGATATTTGCTCACCACTGACCTCCAACTAATGCCTGGTTCTGAGGATAAAACCTCACTGCACCTGGGCGTTGCTCACAGGAAGCTGGGAAAGCAGAGGGTAAGAGCTGAAGGCCCAGCTATGTCTACAGATAGATGTGTACAGACCCTAAAGAGTGGCTAGGGCCAAGGATGACAAGTTAGCTGGAGAGATGGGAGCATCATGGAAGGTCACAGTTGGGTGCCCTAGTGAGAAGAAAATGGAGAACATCCAGTTATGTGTGGGTGCAGGATGGTGGAGTGAGCACACTGGCCAGGTGGAACCCAAAGGATTGGGCATAGCCTGGGGTAGGGATGAGCGGCAGGTGCCTCTGGACCACTTCGATGAGTCACTCTGCAGGAAATGCTGGGGAAGAAGGGGCAGGGTAGAGGAGAGCTGAAGGTCCAGATAACCCAGGCCCTCAGACTCCAAGGAAGGACACCATGGAGAAGCAGCTACTGGTGTAAAAGTTTGGAGAATTACTAACCCAAGGGAAAAGTTAGATGAGAGGCAGTGGACCTTTGGCCACTCCAGTGAAAGACATGTGTTGTGGTTTAGAACTGAAATGTTCCCTTAAATGCTCACATCTGTGGAAGGTGATTGGATCATGGGGCACCTATGCCCATCAGTGGATTCATCCACCCAAGGGGTCTCTAACTGTGCCGTAGGAAGTGGGCCTGGTTGGAGGCAGCTCACTGTGGTGTGCCCTGGAAGGGTGTATCTTTGCCTGTCTTTTGTCTTCACCTTGCTGCCTGGCAGCCATGGGTTGAGCACCTTGTCCCCCACTACACACTTTTGCTGTTTCTCCACCGTGCTGTTTCCTTTCTTGGAGCCAAGCAACCTTGGACCAAAACCATGAGCCAGATAGATCTCTTTGAAGTTTGGGCGTTGGCTATTTTGTCCCAGTGATGGCCAACTAAGACATCACATGCCTCAATGAAGCAAGAAGGAAGTATACAGACTTCCACAAGTCTGTCATAAAGGGGAAGAACTTGGGCTCTCAGGGAAATGTATTTTGAGGGTGGTAGTAAATTAGTAAAAATGAAAAGCAGAAAGGAGCTTATTTT